GGCACACAGGGAGCCGGCCAGTGCGGGCCAGTAGAATCCAAGCAACACTGGGTGAAGCTGGTGCTTCCTAGCCAAGAGACTGTGGCTGCAGGAAGCAGAGGAGGCTAAGTGGGGGTGAAGAAAGGTGGGGGTGGGGGGTGGGAAAGCCTATATGCCTGGTTACCAGTTGTTCTGTCCCCTGCCGGAAGCTCCATGAAGCTGCTTTCTTGTACCCCCTGTTCGCTGATCTCTGATAGGAGTCCAAGATGGCAGATCTGTGCTGCGGTAGCTGATAGGGGACCTCTGCATGTATCTCTCCTCGCTCTCTGTTCTTGGTCAGTTTCTCATTCCATTCGGTGCTTGGCTGAGTTCTTTATCTCTTCATTTGATGCTTAGGGTTTCAGGATTGACATGTAACTCTGACTTAGTTTTTCCTGATCTTTGCTGTGGAGGGATGGCGTGGTGCTTCTGATTATAGAGCCATGTTCAGAAATTCTTTATTAAAATAATGCCTTGATAATCATATCTGCAATAAATCTTTGTGTGAGCCTCAAGTTATTGTCAGGATAGATTCCTAGGAGAATTTTGTAGCCCTTTATTTACCTGGTCTAGACTGAATAACTAGTATTGAAAACAGTGCAAATAAACTTTAATGTATGTTTGTATATAACTTCAGCAACAAAAATGAAAATGATAATTCCTCTTCAAAGCTTTACATGTCTTTGTTTGGTTTACAGTTTGCTTCACTTTAGGGAAAGGGCTTCCACAGAGGTCTTTTAGGGGATCAATTTAGGGGAAGGACTTCCCCAGAAATGTTGACGTACATTTTTGGAAATAAAAGCCACTATAGTAATATTCTTAGAAAAAAGTTTTTAATATTGACATACTCAGATTGTGTTTTTGTGAGCATAGTATACAATTGTTTAATATACATTACAAAAGTATTAACTTTAGAAAGTTTCCAACTGTCCAAATATCAGAAGAATCCCACATTCTGGCATAAAGTCAAAACATTTTATATTATACCAAAATTAAAATTTACCCGTATTCTATCGAGAAATGAAATAAAACACCAACATTATAAAGTCTACCTAGAAAAGATCAACAATTACCTCACAGACTATCTTTGCTATACATATGTGTATGTGTATATATATATATATATACACACACACATATATATACACATATATTTTTTAGATTTTTGAGACACATGTTTGTCCTGTTTAATAACATGATTCATACATTAAACAGAGGATTATAATGTAGAGGATAGAGAATGGGATTTAGAGACAGAAGATCTGTGTTCAATCTAGAACTTTCTAGATTACTGGCATTTCAATCCCATGTGCCAATTGGCACATGGAAAATGTCAGACTGAATAAATAAATTACATTAACAAAGATTTCTTCATCTATAAATCAGAGATAATGCCATCTACCATGCAGAATGTCTGTAAGGACTAAGTAAGAGAATGAGTAGATGTTGAAGTGCTTTGTTAACTTTAAGACTCTGAATAAAATTATTTTAAAAATCTGTGTTGATTAGGGTTTGTTATTTTGCACAAAACATTGAATTTCAAATCAACTCCAGTACTTGGCTTTGATGAAGTTAATTTATAGTTATGTTTTCCTTTTAGCAAAAATACCATTAATAACAAATTTGTTCGGTATTTTAAAGGGTAAAAATGTTTACAACTCATTAAAAATTAACATTGCCATTTACATCAACACCAATGGCCTTCATCTCCTTTGGTTAAGTCATTGCAAGAAGAAATTTATTTTGTTTCAAAAGAAGAGCAATTGATTATACAAAAGTCTAGAATTGAACTCCCATTAAATTCCAACGTAACAGCATTTACCAAAGCACCTGGCACATACTTTCTTTTATAGCATTTATCATATTATCAATAGTATTTCTGTTTCTCTCAGGAGACTTCAAGCAACTTGATGGCAGAAAATTGCATTATATTCATCTTTATATCAAGTTCTTTGCCTTTGGCTGGCTCTTTGAAGAGGTTGCTGTCTCCAGTGTCTCGTGTTTAACAGACATAGATTGAATGAATAGAAAATCTGTGTTGTGTCCAGCAGAGGACAAACAGCTATTACAATTTTGAGAAATCTATTAACAAACTGAAAACAGGATTTTAAAAGATTCCTTTAAGGTTTTCTCTACAAATTAAACTAATTTTTAAGGTAGACATGTTAATAAAACAATTTGATGCGGGAGGATATGGAGCATGTTATAGAGATAGTAACATGAAAATGAGATGGAGAAAACACAGGAAAATCTATTTTAAAATTACTGTGTGGTAGTTTAGTCAATGATGTCAAATAATAATAAATGAAGACTAAGTTACTTTGCCCAAAACTTTATAATCTCAATTTTTAAATACTGTATTATGATATCAAGATATTATTGTAGACAAGAACCAACCTGCATTAATTGTCTTTAGTTTTCTATTTGAGGGGGTGAACCACAGGAGGGTCTATATTTGAAAAACATAATTTATGTTCAAATGATTATTTGCCCAACTGATTTTGAGGTATTAAGTACATATGGTACGTACTTGTTGACGATTACATATTGGTAAAAAGATATTTGAATACATACTAGAACAAGACGTATAACGACTATTCCAAGGAGCTACGTCCAATTCTTAAGATAAAAAGATTAACCAGGTTTACCACATACACAAAAGGATTTTTATAAATATTTGTCATAACTGCCTGATGAGAACTAAAACAAACTTTTCCTACCTTTGCCTTTGTGAAATCTAGTCGCTTGGGAGGCATTCCTTATAATAGAAAGGGTACTAATACTACAAAAAGACTGTTGCTAGGGTCCAAACAAATATCATTTTAAAAAGTAGAAAAAGTGGTGGATATTTCAACATACATAACTGTAGGTGCTGCTTGTATATTAGTATAGACAATAGAGCACACAAGAGCCACATTCAGGGCAACTTCTTAGAAATAACCAAAGACCTCGTGGAATACAGTTCCTAGGCTCGAAGGCAAAGGACCATAGGTTGTCTACATCAATGGCACAACATCGTTCATGAAGTTCTGCATCCTACTTTTATAAGTAGCGTCTGGCGTCTGAAAAGCCTGCAAGCAGCCATCTAAGATACATCTATTGGTCTCTTACTGTCTGAAGCAAAGGAGAGTGAAGAAAACGAAAGACTCTAGGGAGCAATTACTCCAAAGGACTAATCGACCATACGGACCACATCCTACACGATCCTGATACCAGAAGAACTACATGGTGCCCAGTTACCACTACTGACCGCTCTAACAGGGATCACAACAGAGGGTCCTGGACAGAGCGGGACAAACACTGTAAAACAAAAAAAATCAAATTTACAAGAGACCAGACTTATTGGTCTAACAGAGACTAGAGGAAGCCCTGAGACTATGGCCCTAAGACACCTTTCTGAACTGGAACTGAAGCCATTTTTGGAGACCACCTTTTAGCCAAACCATAGACAGACCCATAAAATAAACAATAACACCCGAGAGGAATGTACTCCTTAGAACAATCAATTATAGATGATCAAAAAGGCAACATTTGCCCAAAAGCAAAGACGAAAAGGCAGGAAGTGACAGAAAACCAGGACGAAAGGAAGTGGGGAAATTAGGACGGACAAGGGGAGAGTGCTGACACATCATGGGGAATAATACCAATGTTATGGAACACTTTATGTATGAACTATCAAATGGGAAACTAATTTGCTCTGTAAACTTTTACCTAATTCACAGCAACAAAAAAAAAAAAGTAGAAAAAAGCAAACAGTTGGCAAAAAAAAATTTCTTTTTTTAACATAGACATTATCTTAAAGAAAAAACTTATAGCAATTTATGATTGGGTATATGCTATTTTCATATGGTAGTGTCAGAAACTTGAATTAGGATTAAATAACTTGATTACATAGTAGTAAATTTTTACACTATTTGATCAAAGCTGTTTGAAGGAAAGGGTTCTAATTAACATGTGGGTTAATTGTTCAAGTGGCAACTATAAGAATAGTTCTGATACTTCTATTTTGTAAAATAATATTAGCATTTGCATAGCTTTATCATAGACGTGTATTTTTACAGAGAACTACATTTCACTTCCCTTATGTACTATGATGTTGCTCTATTTGACTCTTAACTAAAAAACGGATATAAAAAGCAAGGTGATGCATAAGATAAGCTGATTCCATTTTAAGTTATAAATTGTGAAGTCATAATGTGGTAAGTTACTTTTCTGTGATTAAATTCTACTGTGGGTTTATGAAAGAAAAAAAAAAGCCTACTATTTTGATATGCTATTTCTGTGGTATAGAATGTTTTAGAAAGCAGTTCGGGGAAAAAAAAATCTTAAGAGTTTTAGTACTGACATACATGGGGGCAGAAGGGACATGCCTAACATGGAACTTTATAGCATGTTTGCTTATTAATGTACCAACTTTGAAATTGGAAATGTAATACTTTTATTATGAGAAAAAAGAGCAGTATACATTTGTCTATTAAGGTAAAAGCTAGATCCTGAAATTTGCATTATTCCACAATATATTTTTTTAGAAGTTGAATATAATCAGCTACCAGTTTTTACTAATCTGAGGTACTTGAGGCCATACCTAGTTTGGATGATGTGAAGGTACTTCACATTCAAAAATATTCTTTTCAAAATATTTTACAATCTAACTGAAAATCTTATATTCTTACGAGGGAGGTCATGATCAGCTCACTTTTACTGGTAAAAGGATACAAAAAGTTTAAATAAAAGAATTGCCCTGTCCTCATGATATTCTAGAAATTCTCCAAATCACAGTGCTAATAATAATTTAATTAATACAAAACCTAGCAGTTTCCTAAGGTCATATTTAATGTTGGTTAACTCCTACTTGGCATCTTATTTAGAATGTGATATCCCACCTTTGGTACAGGAAAATTTTTTTTCCTAACATAAACATGTTACTTATCAGACTGTTTTTTTAAAAGTAGTTAAAAAAGACCCAAACACGAAACACCTTGCAAACATACAATTTCCTAACATTTTTAAATAAGTTAATTCTCACATAAGGCACTTCCATTCATTTTAAAGTGTCATAAAAAGTTGTCCATTGTTTTTTTGTAATCGAGTCTTCATAAGTTATACAGTAATAATGTATACTTCAAGTAAAACTTATTAGATACCCAATTTTGGCATAATGCCTTAAACATGTTTACCTCTGAATGGAATGAAGGGTGGGTATGAAGTTCTGTGCAAGCTAATCTTGAAGGTACTCTTGGTCTGTTTTAGGTTTAGAGAATTGATAATGTTTTATCTTGTTGATCTTGTTCAAGAATCTTGAAATTTTCCAAAGGAAGATTGCTTAAGGCAGTTGGTAAAATGTGTTCTGATGTGCCCTTATGTATTATGTTATTTGCTTCTAAATTTTTCACCAAGCATGTGGCTTTGATCCATCTTCGAGTTGCTCTGCGTTCTTTCTGTAGGCAAGTTTTCATTTTTCTTTTTAAGCTTGCTATTTCCTTTTCCAGTTTAATTATCCTCTTTTTTGCCTCCATAGGGTTCCTAAAGGCATAACTGTGTTCAAGGAGTACTTGCTGACTACTAATGTTGGATTTAGATGGTCCTGCTGGAGTACAACTGTTGTTTTTTTCCAAAAGATTCCTTGACTTGAGTTTCTGAATCAAATAAAATAATGGAATACCACAAGTCAGTAAATTTTGTTCAACTTTGGCTAACAGAATATTTAAATTTCTCTTTTAATAACCAATTTTAAAACACCGATAGGAAACAGCAATAGTCCATTTCATGTAAGCATGGATTAACTTTCTCAACTGGTTGAATGAACCCCAGCCATCTATTTCTTTTTGTTCTCTCTCTCTGGAACATTCAAACATTGGTTTGGAAATGGACAATGGACTTCCAAGGTCTCTTCCAGATTACTGAGTATGAATCTATGGAGGCTTCTGAAATCCTTTGCAACCTTCTTACTAAGGTTAGTTAGAATGTATTAACATTTTGTTTTTTGTGATACTGAGTTGAGAATCTCTTTTTCAGGAACATATTATTCTCTCAGTTTGATTAATATTTAGATCCAGGGTCCTACTTTACAACCAATTGAAGGATCCATCTGACATATTCTCAAGTGTCAAACTTCTAAAAAGATTTATCTATTAATGGTTCACAGTTACATAAGATTTAAAGTCTGGCTAGGAAATTTTTGGCAAATCAGAAACCTAGAGACCCCTCTTTTCCTTATCTCTTTCATTCTAATTCTACCTCCAAAATATCTCTATCATGAATCCTCTCCTCTCCATCATTCTTAATGCCATTGCCCACATCAGGCCCATATCATCTCTGGCCTGAATATTAAATATTTCCTTATTGATCTCTCTGCCTCTAGTTTTGATCATCAATCCATCTTCTGCCACCAAAATAATTTTTCTAACAGATTTGACATTTCTGTATTAGCTAAATTCCTATTTCCCTTCCCCTTATCCAAAGGGGTAAAAAATGTCTCTAGATGGCATACTACACCACTTAGGATCTGGCCCAATTCTGTCATTAGCCATCTTGATTTATACTCCAGCAATACTAACCCACTTACAGTTCCCAGAATATATCATATCCTTACAACATGTGTCTTCCATTCATTCAACATTTGTTGAAATATCTTTTATGAATTCCTAGAGACACAGATGTGAATAAATAAGAAAAATATGATTCCTTTCCTCATGAAACTTGAAGTTGCTATTCCGTTCTCCTTGGGAATTTTTTTTCATGACTTCTCACTAAACTGTAAATTCCTTTATGGCAGAGAGTTTACCTTTACATCCCCAGCATCTAACTTAGATTCTGGCATAATGTAAAGTTTAGTAAGTATTTGTTGAACAGATAAATGACTAAAATGGCAAAAACAAGATACACTTCAAACTCAATAAAATGTGAGTGTGTACTATGTACCAAGTATTATTTGAAGTGCTGAGGATTCAGAAGTGAACAAGACAAAATTCTTGCCCTCTTGGAGCTTTTCTAGGGTCTTTGATAATTAGTTCACCACAACCTCCTGTCCTCCTGTCTCAGATATTAATTCATATATATTTACAAATGTAACTATCATAAATAACTCAGGAAAAGCAGTGGTTTCTCCTCTCTCAGAGGAAAAGATGTCTGTCTGTCTTCCTTTTCAAAGCTAAACCCTCTATTTCTGTTATTCATTTTAGCTATTCTCACCATTTGGACACCCTGTCTTTCTCAGCTAGCTTTTTCCTGTCTGATCAGATCTTCCCTAACCAGATAAAATATTGCTTTAATTCATTCATCCTATACCTTAATTCTCTCCCTCCTTTTAAATTAACACTTGCTATGATTTTGATTATTATCCCTCTAACCCTTCAACCTGCTGGCTTTTGTTTTCACCATGCTATTGCATTTGTACTGTTCAAGGTCAAGAACCCTCCCCTAAGTTCCAAGCTGTAAGTCTTCAAGTCCAGCCTAAATATCTGCGCTCTATGAAGCTGTTCCTTCAGAACTTATATACCTCGGTGTAACTCTGGATTCGCTGCTCTTAAAGTACTTAGCATACGTCATTTTTATACCATCTTAAAAGCAGAAGAGCATGATGCTGGAGGTTTCTTTACTCATATGATTTCTGTTTTACCCATGGTTCAATTATTGATAATTGGTAGTAATGTAAAATTCCAATATAATAAAACAATTTAGATTGGGGAAAGAATATTGGAGTCTGGCGAACAGAGCTTTAATTCTAGCCTGCACCTTTATTGCACAAGAGGAAGATTTGCAACTTTCATTAAGCATATGGCCACAGATTTCGACATATTCTGAATTGTTCCATTGTATAAACAAAAAGGAACACACCCTCAAAATGGTAAAAATTGGATAAAAAGGGAGTAATATTACTTACTATAGACTTTATATGGGTACAAAAATCAAAAATGGTTGGAACGGCATCCATTTTAAGTCGTCGAGTTTGTCCTGTTAGGTCAAAGCAGGAGGCTTCGAAGTGTTTTGAACAAAGAAAAGTATGTTTTCCTGGCACAAAATTTTTGCGTCTAACCAGGCGAATCCATTCTTTTCTTCTTTTAGGATCTAAAGGGAACCTTAAAAAAATAAATAAATAAAGGCAACTCAAATTCCAACCGTCACATTTCTGGTTGCACCTAAATGTTTAAAGAAAATTTAAGAGCTGATGATTTTGAACTCCCAATATCCAGACACTGGAACAGACAGAAACCAATTCATGCTAATTTTTATAAGTTATTAAAAAAAAAACCTAGTAAAAAACTGATCTGAGTCATTTTTTCAGGGTTTTTAAGAGACATTTCTTTCCAACCCAGTCCTTTACATGGCAGTAAAAATAAAACAAGACTAATCTGATTCCAAGCAAATTAATATAGAAGTATTATAAGCAGGTGTCATGGATTGAACTGTGTCCCCCAAAAATATGTCAACTTGGTGTCTTAGTCATCTAGTGCTGCTGTAAAAGAAATACCACAAGTGGATGGCTTTAACAAAGTTTATTCTCTCAGTCTAATAGGCTACAAGTCCAAATTCAGGGCATTAACTCCAGGGAAAGTCTTTCTCTGTCGGCTCTGGAGGAAGGTCTTTGTCATCAATCTTCCCCTGGATAGAAGCTTCTCTGTGCAGGAACCGTGGATCCAAAGGACATGCTCTGCTCCTGGCACTGCTTTCTTGGTAGTATGAGGTCCCCATGTCTCACTGCTCACTTCTCTCTTTTATATCTCAAAAGAGACTGCCTTAAGACACTATCTAATCTTATAGATCTTATCAATATAACTGCCACTAATCCATCTCATTAACATCATAGTGATAGGATTTACAACACAGGGAAATCACATCAGATGATAAAATTGTAGACAATGATACAATACTGGAAATCTTGATCTAGCAAAGTGGACAGATATTTTTGGGGACACAATTCAGTCCATGACACCTGGGTAAACAATGATTCCCAGTATTGTGTGACTGCCCACCATTGTGTCATCTGATGTGATTTTCCTATGTGTTGCAAATCCTACCTCCATGATGTGAATAAGCCAGGATTAGAGGCAATTACGTTAATGAGGCAAGACTCAATCTACAAGATTATGTTTTAAATCAATCTCTTTTGAGATATAAGAGAAAAGTGAGCAGAAAAACAGGGAAACCTCATACCACTAAGAAAGTAGTGCCAGGAGCAGAGTGCATGCTTTGGAACTAGGGTTCCTGTGCTAAGAAGCTCCTAGACTAGGGAAGGATTAATGACAAGGACCTTCCCGCAGAGCCAACAGTGAAAGACTTCCCCTGGAGCTGGTACCCTGAATTCAGACTTCTAGCCTCCAAGACTGTGAGAGAATAAATTTCTCTTTGTTAAAGCCATCCACTTGTAGTATTTCTGTTATAGCGGTACTAGATAGCAAAGACCCCCGCCAAAAAAAACCCGTTGCTGTCGAGTCCATTCTGACTTATAACTAAGACAGCAGGAGGAAATTCAGATGCTTTGATCTGTTGGGAGTATACGTGGTCAAGATAAATCAGGTATCTAAAAATTAAATTTTTTCAAGGAAAGCCTAGACAGATTCTGGTACTGCCTCATCTGGGTTCTTTCATTTATGGCACTCATCACATTGTTTTTAAAATTTTTCCATTTTAATAAATTTCCAGTGAAAGAAAAGTAGATTATAAGTTTCTTGAGGGCAAGGATCATACCTTTTCATCTATTTACCTTTAACACTTAGTATAGTGCCTTGCAAACAGTAAAACCTCAACAAAAATTTGCTAAATTAGTAAGAGTAGAGAATACTTAAATTAATAATTCATTGCATTACTTCCATGTAGTTAAACTACATATATTCTTAAAGAATCAATTCTTAAGCTATATAGTGCAACAGAAAGCTTAATTATTACAAAAGAGAAAAATTCTGCTGACAAGCCCAACAGGGGTGCTTTTCCTTTTATGTTTATTTTAAATACAAAATATACTGGTATGTACCGAGTGTATGCCTGCTAAAGAAGAGACAAATATTAAGAGCCTGTCTCTAAAAATTTTAGTGGTAACTGTGTTAACTGATTTAGAAACATAAGAATCAATGCTCATGTGTAATAAATTTGAGTTGAACTCCACAGCAAGGACTTTGTTTTTCACCTCTTTATCCTTGGGTCTAGCATAGTACCTGTTAAGCATTCAATGAACTTTTCAGAATCAATTAAACATTAACCAATACACCACTGATTATAGAATAGTGAAGGGTGTATGGGTGGAGGTAGTGAACCAAGTTAAAAGGTTGTTGTAATAATTCAATCAAAAGGGAATGGTAATATGGATTTAGATAGTATACAACAGAAGATGATGGCTTAGATATTAGAAAGAATCTGATTAGTTCAAGGAATACTTTGGTGGTGGTCTTTGGGACTTGGTGAGAATGACCTACATTCTGTAGGAAAGATGACCTAAAGGTTTCTGGTGGATGGTGTTTTGATTTACTGAAAAAGCAGATACTGGAAGTGGGGTAGGTTTAGGGGAAGGGCAAATTAACACAGTTTTGATATACTGAATATAAGGGACTGGAGAGACCAGAGAAATACTGAATAAACACTTGGCCAATAGGTCTGGAACTCGTGAAAGAGATCTGGGGGGCATCAATATGTAGATGTGACTGAGATCACAGGAACAACTGAAATCATATAGACAGATCTGGAAGACCTTGGAGGGGAAAAAGGGGCTGGCTGAGGAGATTAAATATAGGCCAAAGAAGTAGGAAGAAAATCACAAAATTAGCATGAAATAATTTAAAAAGAGTGTTTCTGAGAGGATATGATTATGTGCGACTCCAGGACCATTGAAAAATGAATGCAGAGTAACATAAAGGTCATCTCGGCAAGAACAGTTTCAGAAAATTATTGGGGAGACAGAACTTAGACTGGAGTGGGCTAGAAAGAGTTAAGAAAAATGGAGACACTAAGTTAAGGCAACATAACCTGTATATGGGGATAAAGAACTGTACTAATGTCCTACGAGGAGAGAATTTAAACAGTTTTTATTCATGAAATAGAAATGTATTATTATTATAAATATTACTTTAAGGTCTAAATTAATGAGGTTACACAAGAAAATGTTAATTTCACAACAGGCGAGTAGTCAAATACTGAAAGGAGGTATGTAGGTATTTTACCTCTGTGCAAACATTCAGTGTTATTTGTCTTGACTCCTTCCTCTCTCTCATCTCCCAAAACAAATTACCAAGTTCACTAGTTTCTCCTTAAACATTTTTCAAATCTGTCACTTCTCTCCATCCCTACTGTCAGTACTTACCTTAGGCTAGGCCACTAGGTGGACTCTCCCTTGTGTTACTACAGTTTCCTCACTGGTTTTCCTCTATCAACTCTCCCCTAGTGTGATGGTTAAGGATATGTTTCAACTTGGCCAGGCCATGATTCTCAGTGATTTGGCAGATATTATGTAATCATCCTCCATTTTGTGAACTGATATGAGCAGCCAATTATGTTAAAAGGGGAGTTCCCTTGGGGGTGTGACCTGCATCCAATATATATGGATGTTCTGGCAAAGTTCGCTTTCTCTTGATCCTGCATCTGACTCGTCTTTTTCTGACCTCCGGGTCTTGAGACGTGAGCCAGCAGCCTGCCACCTGACCGACAGACTTTGGGATTTGCCAGCTCTCATAACCCCATGAGCCAGCAGCATTCTGCCTGACCTGCTGACTTTGGGTTCATCAGCTCCTGCAACTGCATGAGTTAGGAGAAGCCTCCAGTCTGAAGTCTAACCTACAGATTTGGGACTTGCCAGCATCCACAACTACATGAGCCATTTCCTTGAAATCAATCTCTCTTTATAATTTATATATATGCTTCACTGGTGTTGTTCCACTAGAGAACCCAGTCTAAGACATTTGGTACTGAGAGTGATTCTAGAGGTACAAAATTGTAAGGATGAGTTTTCTGAATTGGTTCTCAAGTCTGACTAGTCTTAAAGGTGCGATGACTCTGCTTCCAATAAAGAGAACACTGCTAATCCATGGCTTGAATGGTGTCTGAAGTTAAAGTGAGGGCACTGATTGGGAAGAAATGGGATCCTGAAACTTGGGATGGACATATGGGCAACCAATTAGGAAGCTAGGGAAACCGAGCTCCTGAATTTTGTCGAATCACTCTTGCCAACAGAACTAGCACTCTTACTCCCATCTGAAGAGATTACTCCATCTTTGTCTGCTAAGCCACTCTCCCCAGTAAAACCATTATCTTTTCCACCCCCATCTGATGAGATTAACCCAGCAGCGTCTGAAGGGGCTTTTGAGATATTGCCTGGGGTGGCACCTGGGGCACTGCCTGGGGCAGATGCCTTACAAAACATTTCTGAATGTCCCCAGGGCCCATGCCCACCACTCATTTTTGCTTCTAGACCTGTAACTAGACTTGAGCCCCAAGAGGTGAAGTACAAAGTGTGACCCACAAGGAGGTACGCTATACTCCAGAAGAACTGCTTGATTTTTCTAATATATACAAACAGAAACCTAGGGAATGTGTGGGAATGGCTATTAAGGGTGTGGGATAATGGTGCAAGGAATATAAAGTTGGATCACTCTGAGTTTATTGACATGGGCCCACTAAGCACAGATTCTTCAGTCAATGTTTCAGCTCAAGAGATTGGAAAAGGATCTAATAGTTTATTTGGTTGGTAGCTTAGTTATCTTGTGCTGCTATAACAGAAATACCACAAGCGGATGCCTTCAACAAACAGAAGTTTATTCTCTCACAGTCTAGTTGGCTAGAAGTCCAAATTCAGGTTAACAGCTTCAGGGGAAGGCTTTCTTTCTCTGTCGGCTCTGGGGGAAGGTCCTTGTCATCAATCTTCCCCCGGACTAGGAGCTTCTCACTGCAGGGACCCTGAGTCCAAAGGACATGCTATGCTCCTGGTGCTTCTTTCTTGGTGGGATGAAGTCCCCATGTCTCTCTGCTTGCTTCTCTCTTTTATATCACAAGGGATTGGCTTGAAACACAACCTAATCTTGTAGATTGAGTCCTGCCTCATTAACATAACTGCTGCTAATTATATACCTCATTAACAACGAGGTAGGATTCACAACACACAGGAAAATCACATCAAATGACAAAATGGTGGCCAATCACACAATACTGGGAATGGTGGACTAGCCAAGTTGACACACATTTTTGGGGGAGGACACAATTCAATCCATAACAGTTGGCTTACTGAAGCATGGATTAATCAGTGACCTACACTAAATCAAGCTGAAATGCCAGAACTTGGTATACTGTAGAATGTATCCAAAGGCTTAGGAAAATTGAAATGTTAGAGTGAATTTATCAGGTTGTACCACAGACCCACCCATGGAGTGCCCAGAGAACACACCTTTCACCACAGTGGTTGACAAATTTGTGAAGGGAGTCCCAGCATCCTTGAAGACTGCTGTGATTGCTATTTTATGTAAGTCAGATCTGACATAAGAACTGCCCTAACTGAATTAAGACACCTAACTACAATGAAGCTGATCAGACCCCAGGGTGTTAAGCGCCTAGTGGTGGCACTTAATCGCCAAAGACAAGGTGGGTGTGGTTACCATAAGGGACACCAGAGTCAAAGCGTTAATCAGAAGTCTGACTCATATGGACTTGTGGCATTTTAGTCATGGTGTCCCTTGAAGTGAAACAGATGGGGAATCTACTAAATATTACTTGATCTGTACAAGTGGAAAGAAATCTAGGTCAAGTGAATGGCAGTCTAACTTGAATCGCCAGAATAGTATCATGGCCCCTCAACCAATTCCCAGACTTAAGCCAGTTTACAGACTAGACAGCCTCTTTCCTTAGCCACTCCTGTATTGCCCAATGAGCTCATGCACAAAGTGGCCGTGGTGGCAGCGATAGAGGTTATGCATGGCTCAGCCGCATAAGACTTCCACTCACCAAGGCTGACTTGGCTACAGCTACTACTGAGTGCCCAATCTGCGAGCAGCAGAGACCAATACCAAGTCCCCGATATGGCACCATTTCTAGGGGTGATCATCCAGAAACCTGGTAGCAGGTTCATTATATTGGACCACTTCTATCATGGAAAGGGCAGCGTTTTGTTCTTACTGGGAGAGACACTTACTCTGGATATGAATTTGCCTTTCCTGCCCACAATGCTTCTGCCAAAACATCTGTGTACTTACAGAATGCCTTATCCACTGCCATGGTATCCCACACAGCACTGCCTCAGATAAAGGAACTCACCTCACAGCAAATAAAGTGCAGCAATGGGTACATGCTCACAGAGCCCTGGTGGTGTAGTGGTTAAAATCTCAGCCGAGAACCAAAAGGTCAGCAGTTTGGATCCACCAGCTGCTCCTTGGGAACCCTATGGGGCAGTTTTACTCTGTCCTATAGGGTCGCTATAAGTCAGAATTGGCTTGATGGCAATGGGTTTTTCCATGGTTCCTATCATCCTGAAGCAGCTGGCTTGATAGAATGATTGAAAGGCTTTCTAAAGACACATTTATGGCACCAGCTAGGTGGCAATACCTTGCAGGGCTGGGGCAATGTTCTCCAGAAGGCTGTATATGCTCTAAACCAGTGTCCAATATATTGCTGTTTCTCCCATAGCCAGGATTCTTGGGTACAGGAATCAAGGGGTGGAAATAGGAATGGCATCATTCACTATTACCCCTAGTGATCCACTTGCAAAATTTTAGGTTCCTGACCCTGCGACCCTGTGTTCTGCAGGTTGAGGTCTTAGTTCCAAAAGGAAGAATGCTCCCACCAGGAGACACAACAGTGATTCCATTAAACTGGAAATTAAAAACGCTGCTTGGCCACTTTGGGCTCCTAACACCTCTGGATCAAAGGCAAAGAAGGCAGTTACAGTATTGGCTGGTGCAACTGATCCTGATTATCAAGGGGAAACCAGACTGAATTACATAATGGAGTCCAAGAAGAGTATTCCAAAATACAGAAGATCCCTTAGGACATCTCTTAGTACTACCATGCCCTGTGATTAAAGTCCATGGAAAACTACAGCAACCCAATTCCAACATGACTACTAATGGCCCAGACCCTTCAAGAATGAAGGTTTGGGTCACCCCACCAGGCAAAGAACCACAACCAGCTGAGATGCTTCCTGAGGGCACAGGGAATATGGAATAGGTGGTGGAAGAAGGTAGTTCTAAATACCACTTTCGGCCACGTGACCAGTTGCAGAAATGAAGACTGTAATTGTTTTGACTATTTCTTTCTTGTTTTGTTACATGTATACATGTGTGTATAGCAAGTATCTTTGTTTTCTTCCCTCCCTTATTCCATTGCTTATTATAAAATATAAGATGTGAACAGGGCTAGTGCGTTTTCGGTTGTACACGTTAGTTGTATCATGTTAGGTCAAGCTGACTTTATAATTGTCTTTATTTAGAGATTATGTATGGTTTGAGGAGATGTGTACAGGTGCCAAGTTGACAAGGGGTGGACTGTGATTGTTAAGGTTGCGTGTCAATTTGGCCAGGCCATGATTCTCAGTGGTTTGACAGATATTATGTAATCATCCTCCATTTTGTGATCTGATGTGAGCAGAAAATCAGTTGAAAGGGGAGTTTCCTTGGGGGTGTGGCCTGCATCCAATATATACGGATGTTCTGGCAAAGTGTGCTCTCTCTTGATCCTGCATCTTACTTGTCGTTCTCTGACTTCCAGTTCTTGGGATGTGAGCCAGCAGCCACCTGTCTGACCTGCCGATTTTGGGTTTGTCAGCCCCTGCAGTGATGTGAGTCGAGAGAAGCCTCCAGCCTGTTGCCTGACCTGCCGATTTGGGGAACAGCCAGCCCCCGTAACTCTTTGAGCCAGCAGCCTTCTGCCTGACCTGTTGATTTTGGGTTCATCAGCTCCTACAACCACGTGAGTCAGGAGAAGCCTGAAGCTTGATACCTGACCCAGGATTTGGGACTTGCCAGCCTCCACAACTGTATGAGCCGTTTACTTGAAATAAATCCTTCTCTATATATATGTGCTTCACTGGTTTTGTTCCTCTAGAGAATCCAGCCTAAGACAGCCTCTAATCCAGCAACTAAAAATAATGTTTAATTCAGTTGACTTACTAACAGGATTTCCCTGTGAAGGAAGCAGTGGGTAAATTAACATTCTACAATAAGTTCCTTTCTTATCAAATTCATTTTCTGATGATGCTTGACCAGCACTTTAAGTAACACTTTAATTCTCTACATTGCAGCCAGAGGGCATTTTAATATGCAAATCTAATCCTGTCATTCTTTTTAAACTGTCTATGGCTTCTCAAGTACTTTTAGGATAAAAGAGAAGGTCTTTGAAGTGGCATACAGGATCAAATCTATGTTATCCTTTGGTCTCTTTAAATTTTACATCCCTTGAGAAGTGTTCTTTGACTTTCCAAGGCTAAGTTAGGTCTCCCTGAATGTCTTCTGTGGCACTTGTTTATGTCTTTGCCCCCATTATACAGTAAACTCTAGGAGAACCAGAACTTTCTGGATACCTAGCATAATGTTAGGCAATTAGGAAATCGGTACATATTTGATGAATGAATGAACAAAGCACTATTATTTGCATGAAGTAGTTTAAAAACAGAAACATCACAAAAGGTTTTTTTTTTTTCCCCTAAGTGGTAGCTTTTAATAAGAGGGCACATTTAGTAATAATGAGGTAGGGAAGAGATCAAAGGTATAATTTTCTACATTCTAAAATCATATATTTTATGAGATATTTAAAAACACAACTCTTTTCACTGAACTTTTTCTTTTCTTCAGGCCCATGGCAGGCACTTGAAGAGAAGGTAAACATTTATGGAGTACTTGTTATATTCCAGGCAATGTTCAAAGTGCTTTCCATAGTTCTTTTCTATAGTTCTCACTGAGGGAACTAAAGAATTTTGATTGCTCTTGCAGCAAGGGAAGGAAAAATAAAATTCAGGTTCTTGTTATTACACTGTTGTATTACGAACAGAAAGCTTATCTTTTGCACTTTCATTAACATTGCTTAATTCCACATTTATCAATGACGACCCAATTCCTCCGCAGCGTTGCTGCCTGTGACTTATTATAACTCTAAATGCTTCCTATGTCAATGCTGCTAGTGAGAAATTTTCTAATTCTAATGGGAACACAGTAGGCTTTGATTGCTGACTTGAACCGGAAGATCTCTCTCATGGCGTCATTTGTGTCAAGGACCATCCTAATATAAAGGAGTAAAAGAGTAGAAAATTAAGGTATTCTCCTGTCCTTTTTCTCTAAAAGGTAATCACCGTACAGTACTTGGATTTCTTTTAGAAAGTGGGTAAACCTTCCCTGAAGGGAGAGAAAAATTTTAGATCTGCACAATAAACACACAAAAGGCAAATATGATGCTTCTCTGCTAGCAGCTGGGTAGTGAAGTTATCAGCAGAAAAGGGGATACTCCAGTCCCTTTCACGCAAGTGATACCCAGACTAGGAGCTCCCGTCTCAGTCACCCCCAATCCCTGCCCTGGTTACCTGTGGAAGCTGATGTTAATGTGCTTGTTGTAGGTAGCAGCACAGCCTGCCGCGGCGCAATTGGTAGGCATTTCCCTTTCCCCCTCATTCAGCGTTGTCTTAAGCCTGTTCTGAGGCGATGGCGGCTATGTTTCCTGAGGGCAGAGGCTGGGCAAGTGAGGCAGAGTAAGGGTCCACCGAGCTGAATCGCGGGAACAGGGTGGGAGAAAGGCTGTGTGTGAGGTGCGGTGGAAGCCCAACCTTCCCCTTCTCTTTATTAAGATGGCGGGCTTGAGCTAGCAGAGTCGACCATCCTGGAGCTCCAGTCCCCTTCGTATGCCTTCACCAACATGGCGGTTACAATCCGCCCCATCCCGCAGTAGGCAAAAACGGTGTACGACTACAGCGTTTCTTGGGCAGCAGTCCTCAGAGCAATTAAAGGAGGAGGTGCTTCCCCCTCCGATTACTACGAAGCTCCCTCAAGGACGTAAACTAACAACGGCTCCGCCCACCCTGGCACGCCCCGAGCTGTCCCATTCCTGGGTCTGACGTAGGCGTCAGCAGCAGCTAGAAACCACGAACCCGAGGAGAGAAAACAGACTACAAGTCCTGCTGAGCATCACGTAGTCCTGGTTATTATCGCGTTAACTGTAAGTCTTGTTTCCTGTGTGTCGCAGGAAGTGACGTCCCGGGCATAGCCACTTCCAGAGCTGCTATCACGCCAGGCGGAAGAGCCCGGATCGCGGAGAAGCCAGGGGGCGCTAGGGGAGAAATCCGGGTTGCGACGGTCCGGCGAGAAAGAGCTGGGGTGCGGGGAAGTTGGGGAGCGGAGCCGGCTGGTGTCCGAGTAGGTTAAGTCCGCACCGACCGGGTCCGTTAGGAAATAAGGGAGGCAAGGAGGAAGGCACTTGTCGGGCGGATCCCCGGACGAAGGGGTAAGGTGTGGAAGGCACTGCTCCCCGGATGGCGACCGCAGATACTCCGGCCCCGGCCTCCAGCGGCCTCTCGCCGAAGGAAGAAGGGGAGTTAGAAGATGGGGAGATTAGCGACGACGATAATAACAGCCGGAGCAGGAGCCGGAGCAGCAGCAGTAGCAGTGGCGGTGGACTGTTACCGTATCCGCGGCGAAGGCCCCCTCACCAGACCCGGGGCGGTGGATCCGGCGGAGGCGGTGGCTCCTCGTCGTCGTCGTCCTCTTCTCAACAGCAGCTGAGGAATTTCTCACGCTCGCGGCACGCGTCGGAGCGGGGCCACCTCAGGGGACACAGCAGCTACCGACCCAAAGAGCCGTTCCGGTCTCACCCCCCCTCCGTGCGGATACCTTCGAGCTCACTGTCCGAAAGCAGTCCCCGACCGTCTTTCTGGGAGCGGAGCCACATCGCCTTGGACCGTTTCCGCTTTAGAGGCAGGCCTTACCGGGGTGGGAGTCGCTGTAGTCGGGGACGAGGAGGGGGTGAGCGAGGAGGCAAGCCAGGGGGCCGACCTCCCCTGGGAGGAGGAGCGGGATCCGGATTCAGCAGCAGTCAGACCTGGCGAGAGTCTTCTCCACCTCGGAAGAGTTGTATCCTTAACGTGGCGGTCTGCCCTGGGTGTGTCACTTCGTAAAGTTCCCTTTAGCGTCATTACTAAGTCTATGAAATGAGTGTAACTTTTCTAAACCATCAGAACCGCTTATTTGTCAGTGTGTCAATATAGTTTTTGTTTGTTAATTTCCACGTGCCACACCATAGTGTTTCTTAGGATTGCTTTATTGGGTAGATTGCTTTTTTAACATTTGGGTATTATGGATTGGGGCCAAACTAGTGGAATCGAAGATAGTCTAAAATCACGTTTATAATAGTATATCACAAACCTAAGTTTCATTAGCATTTGTTTTTGCTGATACAGGAATTTTGAGTTTTATGTGGAGTTGACTTAGATTGTTGAAGGGGGGGAACCAGTTTGGGAATATAGTTGATTATATCACAGTGCACTTCAGACATTGGAAATTGTGTAGTTCTGTTGTGCATAAGCCTGACGTTTTTACGTGTGATTCTGTTTTTACCTTTCTTGCTGTGTTTTTCACCACTGCTGCCTTTTAAAGTGGTTTGAAAAAAAGACTTGACGCCTTAACCAACTGGATTCAGACCTGAATGACATGTATCTTTTCGGAAAGTGTCACCTCCTTAACGTCTTTCTCCTGTGTTCACTTTTTAGACATTTTATAACTCAAATGTGAGCCAGAGAGAGAAAGATAAAAGTTAGCAGCATTTTTATTTTAATGTATTTCAAGCCATGGGGGGTGAGGTGGGGGTGGGGGTGAGTATGGAGGTTGGAGAAGTTGAGAAAATAACAAAATATTTGATTTTTACTCACTCTAGCCTTATCCTTAGATAGCTTCAACATTAGAGTTTACTCAGTGTTTTTCTGAGGAATTAATCGTCTGAAGGTTTGCTGTTTTATGATGAGTTTGGAGAACTGTGGGGACTGCATGAAAGTAGTTTACTAAGCACATTCATCACTGGATGTAATTTCCACGGTGTAATGCTTTTTTATGTGTTTATTATATATGAAATGTGTATGTAATGACATTTATTAAGTCAATCATTTTTATAGAATACTTAGGGCAAAAATGGTGCTCCCCAGATGTCATGATGTAAAGCAGGCAAGGAACATACATTCAGGTAAGAACCAGCAGCTTCTGTTTTTAGTGCTCTGAAAAAACTTACTTCTACAACCAAGAGTTGGGTTAGGTGCATTCTAGGATTGTTTCAGAGAAAATCGTGTAGATATTTATCTTTTTAAAAGATAGAGGATTTTTTTTTAATAAGATTGTAAAACCTCTGCCCATAGTATTTTTTTATCCATGGTTTTGTCAGTTAATTCTGAATCTAAATGCTGAAGGGCTATTAAGCATATAATTTTTTTTTTTTTTTTAAGAGACAGAGGTAAAACTTGTCATTTGTGTTGGGGAGACAAATGTAAATAAATAATTATAGCTTTGTGTAAAAGGCTCAAATTGAGGTATGTAAGAAGTACTGTGGGAGTTAAAACTTTTAAATTTATTTTCTATATCAAGGGGATGATGAGTGGGCTTGCTTCCCTCCTGCCTTTGTCCCTTTTACTGTATGTAGTTCTGTTCGTTCATTCAGTAACAAGTTGGGCCTTTGTCATACCTTGACTAATTGTTGAACTTATATGTTTTTATTAACAAACAGCAATGTGATGTGAAAAAGTACTGGAAAAAATCCAATCTGCCTGTGTGACTTTGGGGTGGTTATTTAACTTTGTTGGATTTCAGTTTTTCAGTCTTAATTTTTCAAATTTGTGATAACAGATAAGAATGTTGGGAGTGTTAGGTAAACTAAGTGAAAATATTTTGAAATTTTAAAAGGATCATGTTCAGTTTTAGAACATCCTGTTGCCGTCTAGTCGAAACATATTGGCTTGTAACTTGTCAGAAATGAGCTGTCTTGCTGTTTTTCTTTTTGCAGATGCTGCACTTTAAAAAGGATGCTTGTTGTGATCCCCTGCTCAGTGTTTTCCTGGTGAAGTATCACTAATCCATGCTAGAGATAGTGTTCTGTGTAAGAATTTGTAAAGGAAAACATAGTTCCCAGCCTCTTTTGTATTTCATGAGTGTACAAAATTCGTAATACAAAGCTTTATTACTTCAAATTCCTTTGATACCAAGGTTGTACTTAGTTTAATTTGTATTTCCACTGCGTGATCATCATAATGACATTTTGATTTTACAAATATTACGTAAAAAAGCAATGACTTATTCTGCAACCTATTTCTATAATCTAGAAGGGAAGTGGAAGTAAGTCACAAAATAACTCATTACCTTTTTTTGAAGCAACATTTGTAAAATAAAAATATTATGATCACACAGTGAGATATGAATTAAACTAAGTATTAACGGTGCTATCAAAAGGAATTTGAAGTAATAAAGCTTTGCATTACAAATTTTGTTTGCCCACGATATAATCCATAATCTAGAAGTGAAGTCAGGAGCCCTGGTGGTGCAGTGGTTAAGTGCTCAGCTGCTAACCAAAAGGTCGGCAGTTTGAACCCACCAGCCACTCCAGGGGAGAAAGATGTGGCATCTTGCTTCTGTAAAAATTACAGCCTTGGAAACCCTATGGGGCAGTTCTACCCTGTCCTGTAGGGCTGCTATGAGCCAGAATTTAGAAGTGAAGTAGCCAAAGAGAGGATTTTTTTTTTTTTTTTCCATAACTTCTCCTTCTATAATAAAGTTATGTTAGATACAGCTTTGAAGAAATAGAATAAACTAGATTCCATTGCAATTCTCATTTTCATTCTTATTGTAGTTTTTCTTAATGATAGATACTTTGTCAATCTATCTTAGCATATATTTCCCTTGGATGATTAACTGTTTCAAACTTTCAGATCTTATATGAGCAAACATAATTAGGCCAATGTCTCTCATCAGTGAAAAGTCATTCCATTTTCAGCTGCGATGGAAAAGGTTGAATAGCAGTTTTGTTTTTTTTAAAAACCAAGTTTCAATTAGAAATTGGAGCTTGACTCGTGTAATACTGAACTTTTAAAGTACTGGTTTGATCATAACTATCCTGTATAGACAGGGTAGGAAATTATTTCATTTAGCAGATAGTTGAATAGCGTGGTTGTGCAAGACTATTACAGGATTTTTAAATTAGTAAGACAGTGTCCTTGTCTAGAAGGAAGTTAGTCAGTTATAGTCATAACTCAGTTGCTTGTTCCTCATTTTCCTGTACTTTAGTTTTTTCCCCCCGCAAGGCTAAAATTTTTTTTTTTAATTGTTGTAGCTTAAATGAAGTTTATACTTCAAGTTAGTCTCCCATACAAAAATTTATACATGCATTGTTATGTGACCCTAATTGCTCTCCCCATACTGTGACAGCACACTCCTCCTTTCCATACCTGGTTCCCCACGTTCATTCAACCAGCTCCTAACCCTCTCTGCCTTCCCATCTCACCTCCGGACAGAAGCTGCCCATTTAGTCTCTTGTATCTACTTGAGTAAGAGGCACACTCCTCACAAGCATGTCTTTTATGTCCCACAGTCCAGTCCACTCCCTGTCTGAAGATCTTTAGTTATTTTTTGCTATTGTGTTATCTTTTCGTTTTGCAGATGTTTGCAAAGTCTTTATCCGTACTTTTTTTTTTTTTTTTTATGTTGCTGACCACTGTCTATAGACCCTGCCTTTAGTGGACCCTGTTGAAAAGTTAGATGTAAATGCAGATAATTACAGAGGTTATGTACCAGGAGTACATAAGGAATGGGGGCAAGTAACTATCTGGCTTCACAAAGGAGGTGACATTTGAATTGGGGGTTGAAGAACCAAGAAACCTAGAAACAAAGCCGTACATGAATTGTAATGAACATGGAAAAGTTGAGATTGAAAGATAAATGCTGGTCAGATCATGAAGGCATTATATGGCATGCTAAGGATTTGGACTCTATTCTTAATGTGATTTAAATAAGGGAAGTGATCTGATCGGATTTGTATTCTTGAAAGATTACTCTGGTAGAGGTATAGGGGGTGGTTTGGGAGAAATAGAGAACCCCGAATCTCTTATCACTGGGCCAGACTTCTCCCCTGTAGTAGATAAAACTATGGGAGTACATGAAAACACTCAAAATGAAAAGAGAAAAAACCTAGGGAAAGCTTACTGGAGAACACTTTCATTTTAGGAGCTAGAGATAAAGGAGCCAGGAACCCTGAAGACTTAAAAAAAAATAAATAAAAGAATGTGTTATAGGAGACAAGTAGTTAGCAGTGTCAGATACTGCAGAGAGGTTAGGTAAAATAAGTTTTGAGAAAATGGGTGGGTGATTTTAGCCAGAACACTTTCTGTGGATTAATGGGACAGAAGCCAGATTCCATTTGGTTAGAGAGCGAATAAAAAATACTGAGAAACGCTTGGCTCTTAAGCAATCAGAGAACCAAAGATTTACTAAAACCATTTTGAAGCAGAACTGTTAAGATGGTCAGTTTTCAGTTGTAACGCTCATTTAGTTTCTCAGATATTTGGTGGTGATTCTCATTCTTGAAGGAGCCCCGGTGGCACAGTGGTTAAAATGCTCGGCTGCTAACTGAAAGGTTGGTGGTTTGAACCCTCCATAGGAGAAAGATGTGGCAGTCTGCTTTTGTAAAGATTACAGCCTTGGAAATCCTATGGCACGGTTCTACTCCGTCCTGTACGGTCGCTATAAGTCAGAATTGACTTGACGGCAATGAATTTGGTTTTGGGCCTCATTCTTGAATTGGTCATCAGGGAACTTCAAAATTCTTTGCTGGCTGCTTGTCCTGTGACTTAATAGCTATGGAAGAACCATATTTAGGGAGCCTCAGAGATATATTGCAGCCAATTCAGAATGACCAATAAATGATACATTGTATTAAAACCAAATAAGGTATCTGTTTTTTCTCTTGTTCATTTCTAGGTTGGAGAAATGAAGTGTAACAATTCTCATATGTATGAATTGTGGGTAAAAATAAGAGTTTGGAACTAAGTAGCTGTCTCAAAGGAAGGAAGAAGTTTTATTACATGTATCACTATGTTAAAGAAGAAAATAACAAGAATAATTGATTTAAATTCTAGCCTTGAGGGATAATTAGAAAATAACATTTTGAGTATGATTTAAAGTTTTTATATTTTGCTATATAGCTGCCTTAAGTATTTTAGTTTTGCTATAGCGTACTTGAGTTTTAAGCTTATTATGCATTAAGTTTTTAAGAAAATTTTTCTTATTCATAAATTAGACTAATATTAATTTTTAGTGTTCATTTTTTATTATCTTTTTTTTTTTAATTTGAGACATGAGAAGAAACCAATTAAAGAGAAGAAGAGTTTCCTCCTGGTTATCTGAAATATAAATTATCCACATCTGTGACAAACTATTCAGTTTCTCCCCTCTTCCTTCAGAAAAGAGTCTTTGACAGCCAGCTGGTTTAGGGCTTTCCTGGTGCCTACAAAAGGAAGGATACTATATAACCTAACTAGATGGACTGCCTATGGATACTATGGGTAATTACTGAGACTAGTGATTTTGTAAGTGGACGATTTATATGGATATTTGTTAAATTTGAAATGTGGGCACATAATCAAAGTGGGCATTAGCAGCACATATATTAAATGGAATTTTGTAATTTAAAAATATCAGTTCATCTTTCTTGAAAAACATAATGAAAAGGGAGAAAATTCATCTATAACCTATTTTTTTTTTTGTTAAATTTAACTATGGAAAATTTCGGGAAACTGGTTTCCTTAATATGCTGTTCAGCCAAAAGTTTTGGAAGATCTCCATCAAGAAAACAGAATTATTCATCAAAAAGTGAAAACTGTGGGGAAGAAACTTTTGAAGATTTACTTTTGAAGTATAAGCAAATACAGTTGGAACTTGAATGCATCAATAAGGATGAAAAATTAGCTTTGAGTAGCAAAGAAGAGAATGTACAGGAAGACTCTAAAACGTTGAACTTTGAGGACCAAACTAGCACTGATAATGTCAGTATTACAAAGGACTCAAGTAAAGAAGTAGCTCCTGAGGAGAAAACGCAGGTCAAAACTTTTCAGGCATTTGAATTGAAACCACTCAGGCAAAAATTGACTTTACCAGGAGATAAGAACCGGTTGAAGAAAGTTAAAGATGGAACAAAACCGCTTTCCCTGAAATCTGACCCTACTGAATCTAGTCAAGGTAATGGAATTTTAATTTTTAAGTATTTTAATTAGTAATGAGATTCTTTCTTCTTTAAAGGGGTAACTAATTATCTTGGTAATACACTTCATTAAAATTATTCTGATAATTTACCTGTAAATTCTTTTGCATTTTCTAGGTAGGAATCATGTTATTGAGTAACGGCAGGTTTTATTTCTTTTAAACCCTTGTTTTATTTCTTTTCTGGCCTTACATACCATACTGGTCAGGACTTACAATACAAAGTTGAACAGAAGTGATAATAGTGGGGACCTTTGTTCTCTTATTTAAAGGGAATGCTTTTTAAATTTACTGGTAAACATGATCTTTGATAAGTTTTTTATAGCTACCGTTTATCAGGATATGGCATTTTTTTTTTTTTTTTGTATTCCTAGTTTGAGATTTCAGCATGAATGGATGTTCAGCTTTGTCAAATCTTTTTTTGTTCATTGAGATGAACATCTGATTTTTCTCCTTTAATTTGTTAACATAATGGTTTATATTAATTGATTTTTGTAATGTTAAACCATTCTTGTATACCTGTACAAGTAGTTTATGATAAATCATGTTTATATATCATAGGTTTGGCTTAGTTTTTTCTTTTCCTCTTTTTTATTAAAATTTATTTACAAACAAAATTCTCTCTTTTTAGTGTACAGTTCTGCAAATTTTGACAAATGCAATCCATTGTATAACCATTGCCGGCACCACCACAATTAAGATAGAGAACAGTTCCATCACCTCCCAACAATTCCCCCATGTCCCTTTGTAGTAAGCCTCTCCCCCAGTCCTCAGCCCCCCTGGCAACCACTGATTTGTTTTCTGTCCCTAATAGTTTTGCGTTTTCCAGAATGTCGTATAAATGGAATCGTACAACATGTTACCTTTTGATTATAGTCTCTATCAACAGTTACCGTCGAGTTGATTCTGACTCATGGCTACCCTGCCCATGTGCATCAGAGTAGGACTGTGCTCCATAGGGTTTTCCTTGGCTGATTTTTGAAAAGTAAATCGCCAGGGCTTTCTTTGAAGGCAGTCTGAGTGGATTTGAACCTCCAAATTTTCAGTTAGCAGCTGAGTACTTACCCATTTCCACTACCTAGATACTCCTTCTAGCAATTGGCGTAGTGCATCTGAGATTCATCTATGTCGTTATGTATATCAGTAGTTTGTTCTTTTTTATTGTGGAGAAATGTTCCATTGTAAGAAGCCCTTGTGGTGCAACAGTTAAGCTCTTGGCTGCTAGCTGAAAGGCTGGCAGTTTGAACTCACCCAGTGGGTCCACGGGAGAAAGACCTCATGATCTGCTTCTGTAAAGATTACAGCCTAGGAAACCCTATGGGGCAGTTCTACTCTGTTACATGGGGTCGCTGTGAGTAAAAAATTGACTCAACGGCACCCAGCAACACAACAGTACAGGTAGTCCCCAATTTATGATGGGGTTCCATTGCAACGACTCCCTTGTAAGTTGGCTCTGACATAAGTTGAATACTTCTTTTTTTTTTAGTTTTCATTATTATTGCCTTTTATTGTAAGTATCTTTATAAATCCAATCTTTGTCGGTGTCCTAACAATGAAGTCAGTCGTAATGGCTGTGCAGTACATGCGCCATTCAATTGTCATATGTATATAGAGTTGAACTTTGCCAAACTTTCTATCCATTACAACTCCTTACAGTGGTACCGACTTAGGCTTCATTTTAGACCAGGCCATAGCCTGCTATACAGCAGTGTTTTGAGCAGTAAATCGTAACATTGAACATCTGCGAATGATAGCATCAGCAAATTATGTGTTACAACAGTGTATGTAGTACATATTACTAATGATAAGGTGTACCAAAAAAAGACAGTCGTTAAGTGTGGTTCGTTGTAACCAGAATACATTGTAAGTTGAGGACTATCTGTATTCCATTGTGGAGTCTCTAGGGTGGTGCAAGTGGTACCTGAAAGGTTGGAGGTTCAAGTCCACCCAGAAGTGCCTTGGAAGAAAGACTTTGCGATCTACTTCTGAAGAATCAGCAATTTATGTATGGAGCACAGTTCTACTCTGACACACATGGAGTCCCCATGAGTTGGACTCAACTTGGCAGCACTGATATTTTTAGTATTCCATTGTATGGCTGCCCTACAATTTGTGTATCCATTTCCCAGTTGGGGGACATTTAGGTTTTTCCAATTTTTGCAATTATGAATGGTTTGCTAATATTTTGTTTAGAATTTCTTCTTATTCATGGCCTGTAAATTTTTGCCCTTCTTTTTCCTTGTCAAGTTAGGTTATGATACTCATAAAATAAGAATAAAAAGGAAGTTTCCTTTTTATTCTCTGCAGTAGTTCTAAGATTGGAGTCATTCCTGGAATATTTGGAAGATCTTGCTGGTAAAAGTGTCTGGTCCTGGATGGATCCCTCCCCCCGCCTTGGTGGGGGGTGGGGAGAATGATTTTAAATTGCTAACTATTCATGGTTTCCATTTCTGGTTAAGGCAGTTTAGGTGAACTATATTTATCTATTAATGTGTTCATTTCCTATAAGTTGTAAAATGTTTGAAAAGTTATTCCTAAGAATTTCTTTCTTTTTTATTATCTATAGCATTTATAAGTTTTTTTTTACTTCTGCAATTCCCCCAGAAATAGGTCCATAGATTTTAAAACTTATTAGTTTTCAGTTTTCTTTTGCTAAGAGCATTTGAGGCTATAAAATTTTTACCTTAGCTGCATCTCAAATTATGATACATAATTTTTTTCATTCAGTTTTAAATACTTTCTCATTTCTGTTTTTTATTTGCTATGCTTGATCTATCAATTATTGAGAGAAATTTGTTAAAATCTGCCACTATGATGGTGAATTTATGTTTTCCAGTTTTTGCTTTAAATACTTTGAGGCTGGGAGATTGACCCATTATTATGTAGTCACCTTCGTTATCTCTAATAATGTTTTTGCCTAAAAGACTATTTTGTCTCACTACCACTATCTTCATAATTATTTATGCCTCTTATATTGTTTTCCATCCTTTTAATCTTTCTATATTCTTATGTCTCAAATGTCACTTGTGTATAACAAAGTTAGGTTGCATTTTTAATCTAGTTTATAGTCTTTATTTTCGAACTGGAACGTAGTGCATTCATATTTTTTATGATTACTGATACTTGGATTTATTTCCTTTTCCTTTTTTTGGTTGCCTCTTTTAATTCTTCATACCATTTTTTCTTTTACTAGTTTTGAAGTTAAATGCTAAGTTTCTGGTTTCATCTTGGTTGATTTAGGATTGTAACATGAATTCTTAGCAGTGTTTTCCCACTTTCTCTGGGACCTTTATCCACTTTCTCTTTGAGGCTTCTTTTCTGTGTGTGAGTGCTGAAACCATTTATTTTTATTGAGAAGGGGTATCGTTAACCCGATTATGTTAATGTACCTTAATTAATTTCTTTTTAAAAAAACTTTATTTTTAGTGAAAATATACACAGCAAAACCTGTTCCCATTCAGCAGTTTCTAGACATATTGATCAGTGACATGGGTTGTATTTTTCACATTGTATCAACATTCTTGTTATTTCTGTTCTAGTTGTTTTACTCCCAATGACTTAAACTCCCTGGCCCCGAACCTTCTTGTTTGTGTTTTAGAATATAGCTGTTGTCCATTTGGTTTTATATAGATAATTTTTTAAAACAGCACATGTAATACTCAAGGGTGACAATCTTTTCTTATTGATTATTAAACAGTTAGCTTAAAGATGACTTCAGGGGATATTTTCAATTCAAGGTTTAAAGAGTACTCGGGACAATAGCTTTGGGGACTCCTCCAGCCTGAATACATTCAGTAAGTCTGAATTCTTTAAGAATTTGAAGTTCTGTTCCACATTTTTCTCCCTTTCTATCAGGATCCATCTGTTTTGTCCCTCCTGATCAGAATGTTCGGTAGTGGTAGCCGGGCACCATCAAGTTCTTCTGGTCTCAAGGTAGAGGAGGCAGTGGTTCACAGAGACAGTCCTGTAGTTTGGCTCCTTCTCTGATTCTTGGGTTTCCTGCTTTCACTTTTGTTCCAAATGAATAGAGACCAGTAGTTGTATTCTCTTTAAGCCTTCTTATTAGAAACATATTTGAGCTTTCCATCTGAAAATTTAAACACCCCCCTCCTCTCCATCCTGTTTTCCCTTAATCTCTGTCAAATAATTCTCTTTTCAACCAGACTTATGGAAAGGCTAGTCTGTACCTACTGTCTTTACCTCTCATTCTCTTATTAACCCAATACAGTCTGATTTTCTACCTCCATCACAATACTGAAGCTGTTCATGACAGGGTTACATACGACCTGACTGCAAAATTTAATGGATAGTTGTCATTTTATTCATTCATTAAACAAAAATTAATCAAGCACTTTATTCTGGGCTCTTAGAATTATGTTAATGAACAAAATAGATAATCATTTATGCCTTCATGGGCATGCCTTTATGCCTTACATTTCAGAAGGGGGGACAGATAAGTAGATGTGATAAACAAATTATCTGTTATGTTAGAAGAAAACTGTTAATGGAAGGTGGAAAACACAGCAGGGTAAGTAGGAGGGGAGCAGGGGATATAGATTGCAGTATTAATAGGGTGGTCAGGATAGGCCTCAATTTGAAGGTGAGATTTAAAGAATTTAAGGGCGGTAAGGGAGTAGCTAAATGGGTATCTGGAGAAAGAAGTTTCTAAGGAAAGGCGATAGCTAGAGCAGTGGTTTTCAAAGTGTGGTCCCTGGACTGTTATTACCAGGAACCTGATGGAAATGCAGATTTTGAGGCCTAACCCAAATCTGCTAAATCAGAAACTGTGGAAATAGGGCCAGCAATCTGTATTTAACAAGCACCCCTGCTGATTCCAGTGCATGCTAAAGTTTGAGAATCACTGAACTATGGAGTAATGACCCTAAGGCAGAAGGGTGCCTGGCAGGTTTGAGAAAAAACAAGAATACTTTTGCTACTCTGGAAGAGATAGTGAGGGGGATGAGTAGTGGGGGAGAGGAGGTCAGAGGTGATGGGTGGGGCAGATCGTGTAGAGCCTTGTAAGAATTCTGATTTTTTCAAAGTGAAATGGGGACCTATTAAAGAGTCTTGAGCAAAGAACTGACATAATTCGTTGTTTACTTTCAAAAGATTACTCTGGCTGCACTTTTGAGAATATTCTGTAGGAGGTAGAGTATTCTATAGATGTATCTCCTCACTTGTCAACTACTTCTTTATCTGACGTTTCGCATTTATGACATCCTATTTTGAGCATTAACAACGTACATCTGGCAGTAATGGATGCCTAGGTGTGAAGCAAAAGTAACAATGGCTTGATGATTAAGGTTATGTGTCAACTTGGCTAGGCCATGATTCTCAGTGGTTTGGCGGTTATGTAATGATGTAATTTGGCAGTTATGTAATGATGTAGTCATCCTCCATTTTGTGATCTGATGTGGTCATCCTCCATTTTTACATAATGCCAGTATTCTCACAACGACTAGTCTTTGGAACCTAACTATATTGATCAATAGTGGATGTACTACATTCAGGGATGTTTTTCTCTCTATCATTGAAATTTTTTTGTTTTTTATAATACCATATGCATCTGAATTTTCTTAAAACTTTTCTGATTTTCTTTTTGTTTTTTTTTGTTTTTTTTTCCATTTGTAACTTCTTAACTGTTGATGTCCTCTGTGTTCCACCGTCTTAGGGTGTTCTTATTTATTATGATTGTTAACTATCATCTATATGCTGATGACTCTATCCCCAGCTCAGCTTGATAATTTTTTAAATACTGCATAACTGCAGAAGACCAATTTTAATTTTGGAAATTTTGAGTAAGAATGGAAATAATTTTTTTGTAGAGACTCATGACAGTGGAGAACAGTGCCTAACTATATGCTTGGTCAATTAGGCAATAATCTGCATTTATTTATCTTTGTGTAAATTTAGTTTTATTGTCTGGAATTTATGGCTTGTGCTTGTTTTTAGGTAGCATTGTGCTCATAAGGTACTTTTGAGGTTAATTGGTACCTTAAGGGAGGTGCTGCCACTTTTTATAGACAAGAGAGATAATATAATCAACTAATAGGCTTCTCATGACCTGATGGAATTCATAGTTTTCTTATGTAGGAGAAAAGTTTAATGCTCTCTGTATTTATTAGTGGAGGACTGCTTGTCCCAGTTTTTTTTCTCCTGTTGATTTTTGTCTAATAGATATTGCTATTTTGGTGTTTTTTGAAGTACAGGCAGTTTTGCTATAACATGACATATATATCCCTAAAAAATCACCACACTGTGCAAAACTGCACAATAAAAACGACAGGGCTTATTGGGGAAAATGGGGCTGGAGGCACAGCACTCAAAAACTTTGTCACTGCCATGTTAAAAAAGATAGGAATCTTAAAAAAAAAAAAAAAAAGTAGTACAGTTTTACATGTTAAATTATTTTAAGAAAAAGAACTGAAATAATAAATACAGCACTTTACCTTTAAAAAACCTAAAGTGTGCTTGTAGAAGTGAAAGGGTTGCTGCTTATAAGTTATTGTGAGGTAGTAGACGGAGGGTTATCTGAAATTGGACAGTAAGTTGTAACACCAGATGTGAATGGGTATGGCTCATAACATACAGTGAACTGATTGGCTGGTAGCTGTTTGAAGTATGTGTGTGGGCTCACCAGGGTGCAGTTTTCTGTATTTTCCTAGTGTTTCTCGAGGACAAAATAGCACATAAGCAAGCATGAGATTTGTACCCTGCTCAAATTGTTTCCTAATGTACGAGTCACATTGCAACAAATTCACATTTCTGAAGCAAGCATCAAAGCAGAACTCACGAACCTCAGAATTTGGCGATCATCTTCTATTTTTCTTGTCTAAAGCACTTGATTAGTAATTTTTCTAATCGTTGAATAAGTTGCCTATTCTTTCACCAGTAGACCCACTTAAGCAATCACATTATCTATCTCAATACTGTTGTAATGCACTCTAACTTCACTGTGTGAGGTGTAGAACTGTTGTAGCTTAAGATAATATATAGATGTAAGGTTTGTAAACTACTTTATCAGAAATCTGGGCCCAAGACTAGAATTCTGGAAAAATGTGATCATATGTGTAGATGGACTTAATTTTGTTGATACAGTCAGTGGATTATGAACAAGTTCCATTCCTAAGTCTGTCTTTAAGTTGAATTTGTACACAAATTGGAACAGTTAGGTATGATTCGTATCTAATATCAGGCAAACATTTGTCTTAGTATATAGGATGTAGTTACCTTTCTATGCATAAAAAACATTAAGGAAACACTTCCAGATACACTAAAACATCTTTAACATAACGTCTTAGTTATCTAGTGCTGATGTAACAGATATACCCTAAGTGGATGGCTTTAACAAACAGAAATTTATTCTTTCACAGTGTAGGAAGCTAGAAATCCAAATTCAGGGCGCCAACTCCAGGGAAAGGCTTTATCTTTTTGTCAGCTGTGGTAGAAGGTCCTTGTCATCAATCTTCCCTTGGGTCTAGGAGTTTCTCAGCACAGAGACCCCAGCGCTCCACTCCCTGCTCTGCTTTCTTGGTGGTAGGAGGTCCCTCTCCTCTCTGCTCGCTTCTCTCTTTTATGTCTCAAAAGAGATTGACTCAAGATGCAACCTAATCCTGTAGAATGTGTCCTGCCGCATTAACATACCTGCCTCTAATCCTGCCTCGTTAACATCATAAAACCCACCGCCTTCCAGTGATTCTGACTTACCTGACCCCATAGAGTTTCCACGGCTGTAAATCTCTATGGAAACAAACTGCCACATCTTTCTCCTGAGGAGCCCCTGGTGGTTTCAAACTGCTGACCTTTCCATTAGTAGTTGATTGCTTTAACCACTGCGTCACCAGGGCTCCTTCATTAACATAGAGGTTAGGATTTATAACACATAGGATGATTACATCAGATCACTACATGGAGAACAGCCACACAATACTGGGAACCATGGCCTACCCAAGTTGACACACATTTTAGAGGGATACAATTCAGTCTATACCCACTTCAGACAAGTTGATTCTGACTCATAGCTACCCTGTAGGATAGAGTAGAACTGCTCCGTAGGATTTCCAAGGAGTGGCTGATGGATTCGAACTGCTGACCTTTTGGTTAGCAGCTGAGCTCTTAAGTACTGTGCCACTAGGGCTTCCTACAGATAATAATACAGTAATAATAATAATGTTATGATGCACATTGCAGAGTAGTGCCTGTTATTAAAAACCATTGTATGTACCTCGAATTTTTAATATAATAGGCTTTGTAGGTTTTTTTCATAATTACAGGTTGTACGTGAGTCATAGGTTCATAACCCAAGGTCTGCCTATACTTAAAACTACTTCTGCTATGCTTTTCTAGATAAATAGAGGACCACAAATCTAATATACTCTCTAAATGTTAAATTCATTTCAACTTCAGAGGAGACAGAATTAATCATTTTATTTATCAGTGTAGGTTATCTATTTAGTAATGACGCTTTGCTTCTTGTCTATCCATTCCATAAGTTCTGTTTTTGAAATAATTATTTTTAGTTCAGAGTTCATTTTACCAAAGTGTAGTTCAATTTATTATTTAATATTTTGAATCATTTTGCCTCATAACTTGCAGAAATGAGGCTGATATTAGGTTAAGTTTGGTCAGATTTTCATTCCCTCACAACATTCTTTCCTTTTGATTGAGAGATTGACAGAATGAGACCCTTTAATGAGATTCTTTAAAGTAATTATTACTAAATAATATGTAAATTATTTTATTTAAGATTGATTATGATTATTAGAGTATTCAAAAGATGCTGTTTTATTTTAAAGGATTAGAAGATAAAGAACAAAATTTAACAAGAAGAGTTAGTACTTCAGATATTCTGTCTGAAAAGGTAAGATACTGCTTTGTGGGACTGGATATCTGTACAACTGATTCTTGCACTTCATTATTCTTTTGAAAGGGAAATTCTGTCTTTATACTCATCTTTTTCATCATTGCCATATCCCCTATTTGTACATAAGCCTTAAAGATTAGAAAATCTGGAGGGATATCTTTGAGTCTTTTTCCACTGGGTTCTGCAAATGCTTAATTGAAGTGTTATATATATCCATAGATGATCTTTTTGTTTGTTTTGTAACTTTTCATTTTGATCCAGAGATTTTCTTTTCCTAATTTTTTTTGGGATTAGCTTGCGTGTTAAAGCTTTGGTATTAAAATAGACCTTAACCTGTTGTCCAATTCTAGCTCTTCCTCTTATTAGTTGAGTGACCTGTGTTACCTGTTTAGCCTTTGCTTGCCTCTTTTTCTCTGTTCTCTGGGTTGTTTTGAGGCTGCAGCAGGATAAAGTACTGAAGGATCAAGAACTATATCTGACATGAGATAAGAATAACCCAAGCTTTCTCTTTATTGAATTAGAGATTTGAAATAATTTCTTCTATTGAGATTTCAATTTGTTTCTAGGAGTAAATGGAACTATTTCAAAGAGCCTAGGAGATTTAGGAAAAAGATGATCCTGAATTTGGGAATGATAATTCAGTAATATACAGTAATAAGTGCATTTATAGATAGATATATAAAATATATGTGTATATATTTGTGTGTGTGTGTGTTTGAATATCCTCAAAATAACCCTATGAAGTAAGTTGATATTCATGTTTTACAGAAAAGGTAAGGTTCATTTAGGTAGATTAAGTGACTTGCTTAAAGTTACATAGGAGTTAAGTGTCAGAGCAAGGAGTTGAGTGAGGTTCTCTGACTACTAGTTCAGGGTCCTTCTTGCCATTCAAGTAGCTGCTTCAAGTAGCATGTAGTTGTGGGCAGAATCAATCATTTCTTGCTTTCATCTAAAAAGTAGTAGTTGCAAAAAGTAATCGAAGACTTTTAAGTGTTAATGGAACAGTGTTGATATTTTTGTTTTTGTTAAACTATAGATTAGAAATGTCCACTAGGATTTCCTATGACAATACAAACGTTCTAAGTCTATGGTCTCCATTAATGGTAGCCATTAGCCACATATGGCTATTAAGCATTTGAAATGTGGCCACTGTGACTGAGTTCAATTTTTAATTTTGGTTAATTTAAATTTATTAGCCACAAGTAGCTCATCCCTATCATATTTGACAGCACAGCTCTAGAACTTCAGTACTAGGCGATAGGATATGATATGTTTAAGCGACTTAGAGTAGAAAAGGAGTCATGATAGTTTTTGAACTCATTTTTTACATGTATTTCTTAATAGTGGAAGGGGTAATTGTATCCTGGTTTGGGTAAACTGAAGTGCTAAAGTATGTGTTGATAGTTCAATTAGGGATTTGTAGTAGCTCATATTAAGGGGAAATCAGTATGTCGGATAAACTGTTTTCTTTACGCTTGAGAATAGAAAAAATTTAATTGCATCTTAGGAAAAAAATGTAATCTCTACTTACAAGAAAAATTATTAGATAAGTGGGCCTTAACTTTTTGGAGTCTTAGACTTTTTTGACTCTTGCCCTCACCAGCACACACCCACACCCACACATACACACAAATACAAAGGAAAAAAACATACACTTTTGCATTTAACTTCAGGGAGTGGGGAGGCTAAGGAATCCTCCTCCTTCCTCCCCAAAATCCATGAACTTCAATTAAGAACCTCTACTTAGGTAGCTTGATGTTTTTAGTATATTTAAGCTAAAATTGAAGAATAGGTTACTTTTTTAAATTATCTCAACAAAAAGGTAGAATGGAAAATTAATAACTTATTTCAGACTTTCGGGCAAAATGGCAGTATAGACAGAAGTACCACGCCATCTCTCCACAGCGAAGATCCTAAAAACTAAGTCAAACAGAGATAAACGTCAGTCCTAAAACCCTAAGCATCAAATGAAGAGATAAAGAACTCAGCCAAGCACCGAATGGTATAAGAAACTGACAGAGAACAGAGAGCAAGGAGAGATAAACATGCAGAGGTCCCTTTTCAGCTAACGCAGCATGGATCCACCATCTTGGACTCCTGTCAGAGATCGTGAACAGGAAGTACGGGAAAGCAGCTTCACGGAGCTTCCAGCAGGAGACAGAAGAACCAGTAACCAGTGATATATGCTTTCCCACCCCTCACCTTTCTTCATCCCCACTCGGCCTCCTCTACTTCCTGCAGTCCAGTCACAGTCTCTTGGCTAGGAAGCACCGTCTTCATCCCTGGGCTACTTGGATTCCACCTGCCTGCACTGGCCGGCTCCCTGAGTGCCATTTGTTGGTTGCTGGTGTTGCTTTTTTCCACTTCTTTTGGTTTCTCCCATGCCTCTCACCACCTCCTCCTCCTTTCTCTTAAATACCTGGCTCCCTGTGCCATCTTTGCTTCTTCCTGAAAGGCTGTGAAACACCCGCTTCACTGTGAAACTGCTTCCCGGCCCGTGCTGCCACGCTGGTGGGATCCCCGGGGCTTTTTTTTGTTTTGTTTCTTTTGATTTGTTTGTTTGTTTTCTTTTTATTTTCTAGGCTTAGGAGCCCCTTCTAGCCAGGCAGTACTACGCGGCTTGGGAGCTACTCCCGCAGTCTGCGCAGCTGCTCAGTGGGATCCCTGAGCATATTTCTTTTTTCTTGGTTTTGTGTTTTTATTTTTTCTCTCTTCTTCCCTTTTTGTCTTTCCTCATTTCTCAGTTTTTTTGTCTCTCTATATTTCTCTTCCTGTCTCCTGAATACCTGGCGTGGTGTGACATCTCTACCACTTCTAGCCAGGCTGTACTTCATGGCCTGGGAGCAACTTCCCCAGTCTTCGCAGTCACACTGGTGTGATCCCTGGGGGCTTTTCTTTTCTTTTTTTTCCTTCTAATTTTTATTTATTCTTTTGCCCTTTTTCTTTTTTTTCCCTTCTGTTTTTCTCTATTTCTCAGTCTCGTCTCTCCACTCCAACAGCAAGTTCCCATAGCACTCTTTTTTGTTTGTTACTTTTTTTTTGTGACTCCTCTTCCTTTCTCCTCTATCTCCTCTTTACCAAACCCATCTTAGCTCCTCATAGCACGATCTCCCCCCTCCTTCCTGCCTACCTGCACCGTGTGCTGAACATCACCCCCCTGCAAGCAGCACAGGCACAGCCTATTGGAACCTGCCTTGCACTGATTCCTGGCCTGCCCTGTCGGCCGTAGTACATGCACAACCCATCCTAGCAACTCCCCTTCAGCTGGACCTGCTCTGTTGTACCATACCTGAGCAACTGACCCTGTCCATTGGAGAAGCAGGTGAAAAGTATCATGCCCACAGATAAGCAAGCAACAAAGAACACACAGCCCGACTGCTCAGACATAACCAAATAAAACAGAAAAGCAGGACGAAGTCAATCTATAATCAGTAAATGAGGAAAATAACTACTGAATGTCCCGAAGACAGCAGACAATATCAAAACATTTTAAAAAAACAGGGCAAGATGGATCCAGTAGGCATCCAAAATAAAACACCAGATGACTTCCCAGTAGAAGAAAAGGCACTAGAACTACCCGATAGGGAATTCAAATCTCTGGTATTCAGAGCTTTCCAAGAGTTGAAGCAAAAAGCAGACAAAAATGAGGAAAAAATAGACCAATTCATGGAAAAGGCAGGCAAATTCATGGAAAGTACAGACATGAAAGAATTCAGGAAAATAATACAGCAACAAAATGCCAAAATAAATTCACAACTAGAAATCATACAGAAACAACAATTAGAAATCCAAAAGATAAACAAGATTTCAGAAATGAATAGTGTCATAGAAGGGCTGAGGAGCAGGTTTGAAACAATGGAAGACAGGATCAGTGAAATTTAAGACAAGCACTTGGATAAAACTCTGAGGAAAAATCAGGAAAAAAAGAATGAACAAAAATGAAGAAATCCTGAGAATGATGTGGGATACAATCAAAAGCAAAAATTTGCCAGTGATTGGAGTTCCAGAACAGGGGGAGAAAACAGAAAACACGGAGATGAGAAGCTGACCATCCAAGATGCTTAACAAACCCTATATAGGCGAGACCCCAAAAGAAAATCCTCAAGGTGTATCATAATTATACTCACTAAATCAAAGACAAACAAAGACTCCTGAGAGCAGCTTGAGAAAAACGAAAAGACACATACAGAGGAGAAACAATAAGACTAAACTTGGATTATTCGGCAGAAACCATGCAGGCAAGAAGGCAATGAAATGACATATATAAAATCTTAAAATAAAAAATTGCCAGCCAAGAATAATACATTTTGCAAAACTCTTGTTCAAATATGATGGTGAAATTAGGACATTTCCAGATAAAAAGAAATTAAGGGCTACATAAAAACCAAACCAAATTTTCAAGAATTATCAAAGGGAATCCTTCAATCTGAGAACAAAGAACATCAGATCACAGGCTGAATCTAGGATGCAGGATCGTACCAGCCAGATACCAACCTAGGAAATGAACTCTCAAGTTCTATCCAAAACCAAAAGAATTACAACAGGGAACCAGAGAGGTTAATCTGTAAATGACAACAACATCAACAATAAAAGAGGGAATAAATGGTGTAGGTATAGAACCTTCTAACAGAGAGGAAGGCAAGGCGATACTGAGTAATAATAGACTGCTTCAAACCTAGGAAGATAAGGGTAAATTTCAAGGCAACCATAAAGAAAGTTAACAAACCTACTTATTAGAATAAAAGAGAAAAACATAAAGTCTCAGTAAAAAACAAAACATTCAAAAACAAAAGAAATTTTTAAAAAATCCACAGACGAAAGGAATTCAGCACAGGAGAGTACGAGGAACAAAGAAAACTTCAGCACCACAGAAAAAAGCACTATAAAATGACAGTAATAAACTCACACCTATCAATAACTACACTGAATGTAAATGGCCTAATTGCACCCATAAAGAGAGAGTGACAGAATCGATAAAAAAACAGGATCCATCAATA